GTACATGTGTATATATATATATATATATATATATATACACATGTACTTTTTTTTGTGGGCACGGCTAATATTCAGGTGCACTCAATAGTCCAGAAATTACGGTAGTTATTCCTCTGTTGGCAGCAACAGGTTGATTTTCCTTGAGTCTGCGAACATTAGATCAGGTTGAAAACAACTAACCTGCAGCCTAAAATGAGTTATCAAAGTTTCCTGATTTTATCAGGACTTTGTTAAGTTGTACACAGATTATAGAAGAATACTTTAAGTGCGTTTCTGAAACCCAAATTGTGTTCGGAGGCCGTACAAGCGTTAGCATAGTGCTAAAGCTTAAATAAACAAAACAAGCTTAAAATGCTTATGTAACTGTTTTAGTAATTCTTTAAAGAGCACCTTTTTTTCAGGTAATGATGAAAATGTCATGCAACTTTGAGCAAATATTGTGAATTCTCACAAAACATTGTTTATCCTAATAGTTCATAGTGAGCTAATGTTGTTTTAAAGTTACTCTTGAGCCAGGCTCTCATTGAGTTGTCACTGTTGGTGACTATTTTAAGAGTTTTGAGTTTGACAACATTTCCTGAAGAAAAGCTAAACAAATAAATACATTAAAAAAGTCAGTGTGCTGTTAAGACATCCTTTGTTTTACTTTTACTTGAAGATAGTTAAAACATAAAGCCATTTTTAAGTTAGTTAAACCTCCTGCAAACTCCTGCTTCAGAACAGAAAGTTAACTTTACAAAACTATGTTTACATGCGCAAAATTCTTTGACCAGATTGAAATGTTTTCAGATTAAATAATTCGAATAGTGTACATTGGCACAATCCGTTAATGACGAGCGCTTACATGCAGCGGGCTTTTATTCTGAAGTACTGACTTGCGCAGAGTGATAAACTCTCCTTAAAAAAAACACAGAAGAAGAAGTTCTACTTCCGGTTTACTTCCGGGATGAACTTAAACAAACCTGAGCGCCCTGTCATTCCCCAATCTGTTACGGAAGCACGATCCGTAGTGTACTTCCAGGTCGCACGGATCGCAGTTGTTTATGAATTCATTCATTCAACCTTTATTTAGAATAAAAACTGTCTTAATTTACTTTGAAAATGACGCGCTCTATCTCGACCGATCTTAATGTAGCTAGTTTATGCCACTCGTATTTCCCTTCAGATCGCTGTTGTTTATGAATAAAAACTGTCTCAATTTACTTAGAAAAATACATGCTCTATCTTCACCGATCTTGATGTAGCTAATTTATGCCACTCGTATTGCCATTACAAATCATTGGTTAAGATGATATGCGGCCCATTAGATCTGACCCCCAGCCTGGGCTGAATGAGAAAAACCCTGCAAGGTACAGAATTAATTATTTCCATGGTGAAACCGCGACGCTCAGTAGTGAAGCTGCATATCGTTTTAACCATGACGTAAATATGTCAATGATTTTAATGGAAATATGAGTGGCGTGAATTAGCAACATGAAAATTGGCAGAGATACAGCACATACTTTTCTAAGTAAATTAAGACAGTTCTTATTCATAAACAGAAATATACCAGTACATTTTCCTTAATCTAGCATATTGAACAGCAATCCGTGCGACACGGAAGTATTCTTTTTAGCGCATGCGCAAATGAGCTACACTACGGATCGGGTTCCGCAACAGATTAGGTAACCACACACCCAATGTGGACCCGCATCAGGTTTTAATGACGGTGGAGACGTTACTGCACTCCCTGACTGAGCTACAGGTAATACAGATCATTTTGAGCTCTTTCAAAGTTTCTAGTAGAAATGTTGTCGCTCACCGACCTGTTTTGCTTCTGCTACATGCTAATATTATTAGCATCTAGCCAGGAGGAAATACGTGAGGTAGACATAGGTCGCACATGCGCAGTCTTGTTTGCATGTGCAATTTTGGGCATGTAAACATAGCTACTGAGTCACGAGAACTCGTTTTCAGGAGAGACCTTTAACAGATTAAGTGTTTACATGCGCACCTTTCGGATTATGAATCTGCATTAACCACCCATCTCATTCTGATTACAAATTATTTTGGATTGAGCTGAATCAACAAAAAATAATCCAAATGGGGCATTTACATGACATATATTTATTGCAAATGGCTGCTTAATCTGATTACTTATGTCCATATAAATATAGATTGATAACGTCTGCTCGTCTACATTAATGTTCTGAGCTTCAGGTTACACTTGTTAGCTTAACCTAGCTTCTAGTGGTGTTGTGTCTTCTTTCTTTACAGCTATTTAATCCTCCAAAAAAGTTCAATCTGGTCCTCTGGACATTCCAAAAAAAAAAAAAAAAATGTAGAAACGTTTCGTCTCTCTTCCGAGAGACTTCCTCAGTCTGAGGTGCTATATTCAGCTCAGTCTCTTAAATAGCACCTTCTCAGAGCGGATCAACCAGTTTGCTGCTGACAACCAAAACCAGCTGCTCACATGGTCAAGAAGGACCATCAGCCTAACAATGGATCATTAGCACACTGATGGCTGTTTACTATTCACAGGGGGTTGAGTGATACTAGCAATCACAGCATTGTAAGAGGGGGACAGTTGAACCCGGAGGCCTCCACCCCTGTTTAATGATAGACATCAGGATATTTAATTCTCTCTGCATCCAAGTTTAAACACACAAGCTTTATAAAGTTGAAATGCTGGCACTTTAAGCGTCTATCAGCTGATCAGCTGCAGGAAAAAGCATTTTTGCAGCTTGGGCTGCACACAGGTGCTAAATAATTTTAAATGATTTATTGTAAATAAAAAGTCCATACCGATCATGCTGCTCGTCCATCAATCAGCCAATTGTGTCATGTCAAATCTTATTTTGAAAAACCGAGATAGAGTGAGTCTGTGAAAAACGAACTGCGAAGTAGCGAGGGACTGTTGTATTGAAAAGCAGTGGTTCTCAAACTGGGGTCCCTGGACCACCGGGGGTCTCCAAGCTGGTGTTTGGGGGTG